CACAGACAACATACCAAACGACCATATTTTATAGTAATGGGAGATGCTGAAAAACCCATGTGTGATCCTTACAACATCCACTTTATCATAAATTACTCCCCATATGTGATCCTTACAACATCCACCTTATCCTAAATTACTCCCCATGTGGGTTCCGAGTTTCCTTTGTAGAGGAAACAAGAAAAGACCCACTGCCTCCCCAACAAGCATGCTGTATGAGCCAATTAATTAGGGGCTTCCTTCAAAGATCTGCCTGATGCAAGAAACCCACAGTCTGCATACAGAAAAGTCAGATCTGTAAAACAGATGTGCATGCAACACTGAGGTTCTCATAACTGTGATGCAGAAACTCAGGCTATCAAGATAGCAACAGAGAAACTGCTAAATACCAATCTTGGCTCACAGTATGTGGTAATGCTGACAGATGCAAAATCAGTACTTGAAGCACTCCAGTCTAGGAAACTACCAGAATTGCAAACACTGCTGACACAACTTAGCCTTCAGCAAAGAGTTGTAATGCAGTGGATACCATCACATTGTGGAGTGCCTGGAAATAAGAAAGGTGATCAACTGGCAGGAGAAGGTGCGACAAAAGTGCAGCCGGATATACCAGTCACATAACACCAAAAGAAAAGAATCATTAAATCAATCAGGAAACCACCAGCCCCAGCACAAGACGACTATTTTATTATGGACAGATCAGAACAAGTCATTATCCTCCGCCTCCGAACAGGGCACAACCGATTACAAAACCACATATACACAAAACTCAAGATAGGCGTATCAGCCATGTGCACCTGTGGAAAGGTGCCCCAGATAGCAGAGCATGTACTCTAGGACTGCACCGAATTTGACACAATAAGGCAAACCTTTTGGCCAGAAAGAACAACATTGGAACGTAAACTCTATGGACCACTGAATGAACTAACAACGACAGTGAAATTTATACAAGAGACAAAACTGCTGATATAGACAACTCTATGGACCACTGAATGAACTAACAACGACAGTGAAATTTATACAAGAGACAAAACTGCTGATATAGACAACTCTACGGACCACTGAATGAACTAACAACGAAGTGAAATTTATACAAGAGACAAAATTGCTGATATAGACAACTCTGTGGACCACTGAATGCACTAACAATGACAGTGAAATTTATACAAGAGACAAAACTGCTGATAAAGACAACTCTATGGACCACTGAATGAACTAACAACAACAGTGAAATTTATACAAGAGACAAAACTGCTGATAAAGACAACTCTATGGACCACTGAGTGAACTAACAATGACAGTGAAATTTATACAAGAGACAAAACTGCTGATAAAGACAACTCTATGGACCACTGAATGAACTAACAATGACAGTGAAATTTATACAAGAGACAAAATTGCTGATAAAGACAATTCTATGGACCACTGAATGAACTAACAACAACAGTGAAATTTATACAAGAGACAAAATTGCTGATAAAGACAACTTATTTCAGGCAAACGAAAGAAGAAGAAGTCTGAGGTTCTGGAACAAGACTAAAGTCCAGAGGTGGACGAACAATCAGAACTTTCAGCTGGAGTTTACAGCTGGTGAACAAGAAGTTGAGGAGGATCATAGATTACCTCACTCCTCCGAGCAGGTGTAGCAATTTGTGTGTCATCATCATCATCATGTGCATGCTGATAAAGTAGGCTGTTAAATTCACCATATTACACGTTCACCAAAAGCACAGATCTGCGCAGTGTTCTTGTCTCGTTCTATCTGTGTGGCCACACCATCCAGATTGTTATCTGTTTGTCTTTCCCTTTCTCTCTTTCCATCAATCTTGCCACACCTTATCAAGTCCTTGAGTCTATACTTTTTCATAACATGTAAAAAAAAAAAACACAGAATTATCTTATTCTGATTTATCTAAACAGCTTATTGTTTTTATCTGTCTGGAGAATGCTGATCTGTAAGCCTGCTCATTGCCCTGCACGCCCACATGTTTTGGGCAGAAATCCATGATTTGCTTCTGATCCGAATCTTACTATGCGTTGCAAGTCATTCTTTGCACAGGACTCAATTTTTGTTTTTCCAAAGCATCCTCTGTGAAAAGTTCTTTGGTCGTGTGATGAGAAAAGGAGCACTGGAAAATATCATGACAACTGGAAAATTCACCAGTAAAAGATGCAGAAGCAGACCAAGAGAAATGATAGTGGATGCCTTAAGACAGTGGCATGGAGGAATATCATCAGTGGAATTGATCCAGAACACCAAATACCAAGATCCGTAGAGATGCATGAATGCCTGTGCCAGCTGGCAGGGCACTTGATAATGATCCTCTGTGAGTCTGTTATAAATACATATTGGATTGTACTAATCTCCAGTCACAGGAGTGCTGCAGATATTCATACACCTCTATTCTCATGCTGTGTGATGTGACATTTCAAGTTAGATACTCTTTTATTAGCATTGCCTGCTCACTTTTGCAGTGAAACTCTAGCTGTGTATTTCATTGTCATTTTTATGCTTCACTGTTGAGCATTTGCTAAACTGGTTAAATTTGGTTGTCCTAGCTTCTGTAAATTATTAATTATATTTATTTCAGTATTTTTGTTTGTTTCAGGAAATGGAAATTAAAAGAGCAGCAAAACAAGGAAATAAACAGGTTAAAAAAAATTTTTTAGTGTCTGTTTGTGGCATTTAGCTGTGAGTTGCAAACATGTAATAAGATCTAATAGCTTAAAAAAAAAACATTACTATATCTCTTCAGTGGAGGGAAAGAGGTAGACCAAGATATATCTATATACAGAGCTTGATTGGCTGGACAGACCTTAGGCATGCGACCATGAAGTCCATCACATGTGACCGTCAAAGGTGGAAGAAGATCAGAGAGTCAACAGCAACTAATGACCCAACGACACACAGTATTACGGGATAATGATGATGACCCGTGAATTATCACATCTCTTATTCCTTTTCTGTTTTTTTTGTTTGTTTAAAAGCTTCTCATCTGTACTGCTGTCTTATTCTTTTTTTTTTTAAATTTGTTATCAGGTTAGCCTTAATAATTAAGGAAGGTGCAAATGTAGAATAACCTGATGTAACAGTCTGTTATCAACAATAATAAAATCAATCAGAAAACCACCAAAACAGGCATAAGATGATTGCCATATACTGGACAGCCCAAAGCCTTCTTGTATCTTTGAAAGTATTTGCTCAGTGTATTCTCATCTTTACTACAATTATGTGATTTATTTCTTGTATCTTTGAAAGTATTTGCACAGTGTATTCTCATCTTTACTACAATTATGTGATTTATTTACTTTTTGTGTCTGAGTGTATGTGCTCATTGTAATCTGTAATCTCATCTTTACTACAAATATGTGATTTATTTCTTGTATCTTTGAGAGTATGTGCTCAGTGTAATCTCACCTTTACAGCAGCCATGCGATTTACTTCTTGTGTTTTTGAGAATATGTGCTCCTGTAATCTCACTTTTACTACAACTATGTGACCTACTTCTTGTGTCTGAGAGTATTTGCTAAGTGTAATCTTACATTTACTACAACCATGTGATCTACTTCTTGTGACCTATACTTGCAGGCAGCAACAATTCTAGCCAAACAGCTGGTGAACCTGAGGAAACAGAAAACAAAAAGTTATGCTATGGGATCCAAGATCTCTGCCATTGGGAACCAACAAAAGGTAAGGCTGTTCCTGGTGGGATTATCTGAAGACTATTTCCACACTGATGGCAGGAAGAGAATGTGTTACTGACCTGCAGTAACAGTGGAGATGGTTTGATCCTACTTGGTGAGAGGTTTTTGTTTCAACTGCACACTCCTGAGATGAAGTAAAACACAAATCCTGGAGAAACCTTGTAGATCAGGGGTTCTCAACCTTCCTAGTGCCACGACCCTTTAATACAGTTCCTCATGTTGTCGTGACCTTCAACCAATTATTTTCATTGCTACTTCATAACTTCAGTGCATATGTGTTTTTCAATGGTCTTAGGTGACCCTTGTGGAGGGGTCATGACCCAGAGGTTGAGAACCCCTGTTGTAGATAAATAGGGGAAGTCAAAGAGAGTACACAGTTTCAAAAGTAAAAATATACGGAACCATCATCATGTACAGGTCCGGTAGAGAGTGGCACTCTTATCATAGTCTGCCTAAATGAAACCTGCTCTCTCATCAGCTCTCCCACCTCATGTACTTTCCTAGATGCCACTATTATTCTATGCCCCTCTTCAATCTGGAGGGCTCCTGTCCCTCTTTTCCGGTACCATGCCTTTCGCTACTGTTCTTTCCAATCTGTCATGGCGCTTGATATGGCCAGAATATTTTGGTTTCTGAGACAAGATCCTGTTTACTGGCAAGTCTTATTTAATGTCCAGATCTTTTAATACATCAAAATGTCTTTTCTAGGTTTATGGTATTTGAAGAATCATTCTATAGCATTTCTTATCAAAAATCCCTATTTTCTTCCTTAATGACTTCAGGGGAAGATGCATGATATACTGAACCACAAGACTGGAAAATCTGGCAACTGAACTCACTTCATGATGATGGCTGTGTTTATATCTATAAGTGCTCTACAGTCCCTGTCATGCTGGCATTCATGGACATGAAAGGACCTCTGAAGGAAAACACAGAAGTTGAGCAAGGGAGATATAATACTGTCTGTAGATGAAAAACACAAATCAGAGTGAAAAACCACAATATTTCACAGACATGCAACAGAAAGTAAACTTTTTTGAACATTGTAATAAAAACCTTGTAACATTAGGTTGCACGTGGTCAGTCATTAACAGTAACAAAACAAAAACAAACAAAAAAAGCACACTTACACACAAAAATCTATGTCCACACATGGCTTCAGCTTTCTACTTATACTGTTATTATGTTTTCTCAGTATATGTCCTACCCAGAAACACCATCTTTTTCTCATCTTTTGATTCACTTTGTAATTTTGAATTGATACAGTTAATATTTTATGCCTTCTACATCTACAGATGATGCACTCCAACATGAAGATGGCCACTGCCATGGGAACAACCACAAAGGTAACAGCTGCTCTCTATTCTTATCAAGAATTCATGTAAACCCTTTCACCTCGGTGACCTAGAAAAAAGAAAGCAAGTTGTATTTCGGAAAAACCCCCCAAAAAATCCTTAAAGAGGAAAATTCATTTTATACAATTCGCACACAAAGATCCTAGCAATTCCATTTATTATCCAAAACAGTATTACTCTCCATACAGAATAAGAGAAAAAGTCACCGGATGAGAATGCCCTGGTACCAACTGCCACTGAGAGCCACCTGAAGAAATATAAAGAGCACAGAGCAAGGAGAAGACAACATCAGGAGCACCCTAACAGATATGAACTCCAACTTGTACAATACATTGGAAACAGCGCGCAAACGATCCTTGCATCTCCTCCCAACAACTCACCAAGGTAGATGGTGGAAGACAAGAAGAAAAGGTAGTCAGTAAATACAAATGCAGCAGAGGAATATTGGACTTACCTCTCTTTAACCATAACATAACTTGAAAAATGACGTATACTTAACCCCTCCCTCTCCCTTCACATGGTCACAAGACCAGACCTTTTACACAAGTCATCAGCATCATTCCGTAACACTACGTATGGTTAGGTCTCCAGTTTCTGTTGACTGATAAGCGCTCTCCACTTTTGGCGGTTAGTTGCGATAGACTTCATGGTTGTATACCTGAGGCCTGTCCAGTCAGTCAGGTTCTGTAACCAGGTCTTTCTTGGTCTGCCTCTTCTCCTCTTTATCTCTATTGAGCCCTGCAGTTTTCTTTTTGAGAGACCGTTAGATCTTATTCAAAGTCCACACCATTACATTTTTCGCCTTTTCTGTGTAGTTGAAAGAGGTTCATAGTTGCCAGTGTGCTGTATAATTATATGGTGAAACTTTTTGTTTGTAATGTGCTCTCTGTATGATTTAAGTATGCTTCCAGCAAAGAGGAATGTCTTCTTCTTCTTTTCTCTACTCCTGGAATGCCTCACGGCGCCATATTAAGATGAGATCTCCGATACAGGCCCTTTTGTTCGCTTCGATTATAGTACTTTTGCTCATCTCTGATATTTTGTGTGGTTTACCTCTGGCTTTGTTACTGCTGCATCTGCATAACATTGCTCTCCGTGGTGTCCTGCCTGATGCCAGTCTTGTTACATGGCCAAACCATTTGACCTGTGTCTAGCTATAAAGTTTAGTATAAAGAGGGATGTGTCAGGGAGAAATCTGATGTGTTATCAACCATCAGCAACTATACTTTACATTTACTTAAGGAGATAGAGAGCACTTTTGGTTTGCCTGGAGTAAGTTGTTTACTGTAACAAACAAGCAAAAAAAGCTAATTTTTATTGAGATTCTGTGGCCCTATTGGGGGGGGGGGGAAAGGGGGGGGGGGGGCTCCTTAACAAGCATGTTGTAAAAGGGGATTAATTAGGGATTTACTCAAATGTGTTGAGCCAAAAGGCACAGATATCACAGCCAATCTGTAAACTACAACACAGGGTTAACACAAAAATGAAGATAAGGTTTATTCTAAGTGAATGGTTTCATCCTTTGTTGACACCTGACACATGCTGTATCATCTTGTTGAAACCTGCCTCATGCTGTATCATCTTGTTGATACCTGTCTCATGCTGTATCATTTTGTTGATACCTGTCTCATGCTCTATCATCTTGCTGACACCTGACACATGCTGTATCATCTTGTTGATACCTGTCTCATGCTCTATCATCTTGCTGACACCTGACACATGCTGTATCATCTTGTTGATACCTGTCTCATGCTGTATCATCTTGTTGATACCTGTCTCATGCTGTATCATTTTGTTGATACCTGTCTCATGCTCTGTCATCTTGTTGATACCTGCTTCATGCTGTATCATCTTGTTGATACCTGTCTCATGCTGTATCATCTTGTTGATACCTGTCTCATGCTCTATCATTTTGTTGATACCTGTCTCATGCTGTATCATCTTGTTGATACCTGTCTCATGCTCTATCATCTTGTTGATACCTGTCTCATGCTCTATCATCTTGTTGATACCTGTCTCATGCTCTATCATCTTGTTGATACCTGTCTCATGCTCTATCATCTTGTTGATACCTGTCTCATGCTCTATCATCTTGTTGATACCTGTCTCATGCTCTATCATCTTGTTGATACCTGTCTCATGCTCTATCATCTTGTTGATACCTGTCTCATGCTCTATCATCTTGTTGATACCTGTCTCATGCTGTATCATCTTGTTGATACCTGTCTCATGCTGTATCATCTTGTTGATACCTGCTTCATGCTGTATCATCTTGTTGATATCTGTCTCAATGCTGTTTATCTGTATCTTGTTGATACCTGTCTCATGCTTATCATCTTGTTGATACCTGTCTCATGCTGTATCATCTTGTTAATACCTGTCTCATGCTCTATCATCTTGTTGATACCTGTCTCATGCTGTATCATCTTGTTGATACCTGTCTCATGCTCTATCATCTTGTTGATACCTGTCTCATGCTGTATCATCTTGTTGATATCTGTCTCATGCTCTATCATCTTGTTGATACCTGTCTCATGCTTTATCATCTTGTTGATACCTGTCTCATGCTGTATCATCTTGTTGATACCTGTCTCATGCTCTATCATCTTGTTGGCACCTGTCTCATGCTCTATCATCTTGTTGACACCTGCCTCATGCTGTATCATCTTGTTGGCACCTGTCAAATGCTTTATTATCTTGCTGACACCTGACACATGATGTATCATCTTGTTGATACCTGTCTCATGCTCTATCATCTTGTTGGCACCTGTCACATGCTGTATCATCTTGTTGACACCTGACACATGCTGTATCATCTTGTTGGCACCTGTCAAATGCTTTATTATCTTGTTGACACCTGACACATGATGTATCATCTTGTTGATACCTGTCTCATGCTCTATCATCTTGTTGGCACCTGTCACATGCTGTATCATCTTGTTGGCACCTGTCAAATGCTTTATTATCTTGTTGACACCTGACACATGATGTATCATCTTGTTGATACCTGTCTCATGCTCTATCATCTTGTTGGCACCTGTCACATGCTGTATCATCTTGTTGATGCCTGTCTCATGCTGTATCATCTTGTTGACACCTGCCTCATGCTGTATCATCTTGTTGACACCTGACACATGCTGTATCATCTTGTTGGCACCTGTCAAATGCTTTATTATCTTGTTGACACCTGACACATGATGTATCATCTTGTTGATACCTGTCTCATGCTGTATCATCTTGTTGATACCTGCTTCATGCTGTATCATCTTGTTGATACCTGTCTCATGCTGTATCATCTTGTTGACACCTGTCTCATGCTGTATCATCTTGTTGATACCTGTCTCATGCTGTATCATCTTGTTGATACCTGTCACAGGCTGTATCATCTTGTTGAAACCTATCTCATGCTGTATCATCTTGTTGATACCTGTCTCATGCTGTATCATCTTGTTGACACCTGTCTCATGCTGTTGGACGTCTGGCGGCACCAGGTATATGGACTCCTACGGGACATCCATTGCCCCTTTCCTAGCAGGCAGGCAATACTAGGGTGACCGGTCATTTCCTGCAGTACTCTATTTTTTCGTATGGATTTTAAAAATATACATAGGAATCGTCACCGGAGCTACAGGGCACGTGCTCTCTGCTTGACACATTATTCAGCAGTTAGTGAAGAGGGAGTGAGGAGGAGACAACAAGGGAATAGGGAGAGAAGAAGGCATAGAAATAGGAGGGCAGGTACTAGGAGAACAAGACGAAAAGCGGAGAGATTGAGCTTTAATCATGTAAGAGTAGGGTACTGGAACTGTCGGAGTGCTAGGCAGAGAGGTCCTGTACTAGAGAGTTTGATTTGGATGTCATCATGCTCCAGGAACTAAATACAGACAGATATCGTTACCCTGGGTACGTCGGTTATATAAACCCTGTTGGACAGGAGAGACATGGACAGGGTCTGGTGGTGAAGGAGGGAGTGAAGCATGTGTGGCTTGACTTGAGCCAGTGGAACCACAGTGGAAGAGAGGTTCAAGGGATACATGTGGAGATTGGTGGCTTAAGTTGAAACCTCATAAATATATATGCAACGGTAGACTGTTTTGTCAGAAGTGAACAATGGGGCTGGCTTAAGGAATTGGAGGAGTTACCAGGTGATAGGTTACTCATATGTGGGGATTTCAACGTGAGGAACAGAGAATGGGACAGCAGTGGAGAAAACCGACAGGAATTGCTCTTGCAGAGGCTAAGGTTGACTCCGATATGGTCTGCATCAATGATGCAAGGCTGACTAGAATGCCATGAGGTCTGGAGATGCAGGTCCTGTTGACACCTGCCACATACTGTATCATCTTGTTGACACCTGTCACATACTGTATCATCTTGTTGACACCTGTCACATGTTGTATCATCTTGTTGACACCTGTCTCATGTTGTATCATCTTGTTGACACCTGTCACATGTTGTATCATCTTGTTGACACCTGTCAAATGTTGTATCATCTTGCAGACAATGAAACAGATGAACAAAGTAACGGACCCGCAAAAGACGGCAGCCATGATGCGGGAGTTTCAGAAAGAAAAATACAAAATGGACATGACTGAAGAAATGAGTAAGTGGTGCTTTTTTTTTTTAACTGTTTCTTATGACTGCAGCCTTCCAGTATGTAAGTACATTTTATTTGGATGCTATTAACTTACTTTCTTTTGTCAGCAGCCTACTCCCAACTTAAGATTGTTTGCCAGAAGGACGGATTTTGTTCGCTTGTTGAAACATGACAGTGTATAAAATTAAGATGTAATGGATATTTTAAAAAACCCACATCTAAATAAATTGACATTAGTGCTTTAAATAAATGATAATATAAATTACAGTTAATTATTTCTAAAATAAAGACACACATAAGCACAAATCTTATATCCCCTGAAAATAACCTGTAAAGCATCTTTTTAGATAAAAGTTTATATAAAACACAGTCTTATTTTCAGCGAAACACTGTATTTACAGTTTCTAAGTTTTAATGGATATTTAACATGTACATGTCATCTCCTCTTTTTTTTTTGCCTGACTGAATGCCAGTGATGTAACACTCCCTGAGATTGATGCAAAGGATTTCCCTTAGGTGCCCTTTGAGGCGACAGCGAAAAAATAATATATATGCAGTTATTGCATATATTACAAATGGGAGCTGCTCTGGTGTAGTGGCTAGATGCTCAAAACAACAATGGCAACATCGCACACCAAGTACAGATTGGTCTATAAACTATAGGTATAGCATTTTATGTCCTATACATGATAAGGCAGACGTGGTTAGTGCCTTATGGGAGAGCGTGTACAGTTTGGAGGAGCAGATGGATCACTACAGTCTGGTGAGATTGATGCAGGGGGGAGTGATGAGAGTTTCTGGCAGATGCTCGAGGCTCAGAGGAAAGGCAGGACCGACATTTAATCAGAATGCTACTGGCACCATTAGTATCGGAACTCTTCACCTGGCTTCTGAAGATGGGGATGGAGCGCTTATGGGAATGCCCCGAGTGCTGTGGTGTCGGTTCTTGAATCAAATCAAATCATGTCCTATACATCTGTAGGCGTCCTTCAATATTACTTTATATATTACAAATGTCTCCACAGATGGAAAGCTCAGAGAACAGACCAGGGTTATTTAACTGAGGCGGCCACATTTGGCCCACAGAGGCCTAGCAAGTGGCCTGCCGATCATTTCCAGTAAACTTAGTTCAGTTGCCCTGGAGTAGACCCACCTACCCTAATTGCTATGTACTGCCATTTTCTCTCATCTTCGTATGCTTCTATGTTTCTTCACTATCATATGGTTTTTATTTTATCAGAGCAAAGTAATACAAGACCATGGAGGCATAGATGTCTGAGCCCCGATTATAGCGATATTACCTCACTTAATTATGAGCATGGGTACTGGGGCTTGTTGTCAGCATAAGTATAATATTTTTGGGTTTTGGCCAACTAGAATATCTTTCACATATAGTCTCATCAATCATAGCATAAGAACCATGTTGTATTGGCACCCCCCTCCCCACCCTTGCCTTTCCACAATAAATCCACAGGTGTTACCCGCAAAAGACCTGAGTCCATTGCAAACATGCCGATCAGCCATTAGCCAACTCTTAATGGAGTAGCCAGCTTTTTTCACATGTTGATATATTTTTGTTACAGTTGATGATACTCTGAATGATATTCTTTCTGAGTCTGGAGACGAGGAGGAGCAGGATGCCATTCTCAACAAAATCCTCAATGAGATCTCCATAAAAATATCCGGAGAGCCTATTGGGAGGCTTTGTTCAAAAAGCTCCAAAAATAAAATGGGAACTCCATTAACACTATTTACACTGTTTATCGAAATTACAACTCTGAGGGTTGAACATGATATTTTTGAAATACTACTACTACTACTACTACTAATAATAATAATAATAATAATAATAATAATAGTTACTACTACTACTACTACTAACTACTAGCTGGGAAGTAGATGTGTCATGCTGCTAAATATATTTCTGTGATATCTGTTTGTTGGGAAATATACCTGTCATGCTGCTGAATGTATTTCTGTGATATTTGTTTATTGGGAAATATACCTGTCATGCTGCTGAATGTATTTATGTGATATTTATTTTTTGGGAAGGATACCTGTCATGCTGCTGAATGTATTTCTGTGATATCTGTTTATTGGGAAATATACCTGTCATGCTGCTGAATGTATATCTGTGATATCTGTTTGTTGGAAAATATACATGTCATGCGGCTGAATGTATTTCTGTGATATCTGTTTATTGGGAAGTATACGTGTCATGCTGCTGAATGTATTTCTGTGATATTTTTTTGCAGACATATAAACCAAAAAACATTCTTCATCTCTAAAAAGCTGCTTTTGTCTGGGCTATTCTACATTACCTTCTGTAGTATATTTTCCATCTGCTGATATTAATGGTGAGGTAGAGTTGTGTGCTCTCCCCTTTCTTATATAATATATACATAGACAGACTATCTAAAGAAGCCAATTTTGAAGCAGACAATCTAGATCTTCAAAATGATCGTGGCTTATAGGTCGACATAGCCTTAAATGGGTACAGATAAAGTCCTGGGAAGTAAAGGCTGTACCACATACCTATTGGTCTATAAAATACAGGTCTAAGCCCTATATGCCAATTTGACACAAAAGTGGGGGAAAAAGGGGGTGGAACCACTGCTGTGTGGAACTGAAAGGGCTGTAATAGCAAGAACTTGGGACTGAAAGAGTTATGACCAACATATCATCCATTTTTAGTACATGCTGGACTGATAAAAGGATATGAGTGCAAAGAAACAGATTATAAACAGCACATTCATTCTAACACTGAGCCACAAGAAGCCAAATATGGACACTGTATAAGGCCCATATGTGCAAAATTGCCACTTGTGAGATGGCATGCCTGAGAAAAAACCCAACTCAACCATCCAAGAAACTGTCAGACAGATTGTAGGAACAATAGCTTGTACTTGATTCAGCGAGAGACAGCAGTTCAAGTGGTTTGGCCATCTCGTTAGAGTGCAGCTAGATCAAATACCATCAAAAAACATCTCAGAAGATCAGCAACAATAGAAAGAGGACAACCACACAAAAATGGATTGACAACATTAAAGACACTTCACCCCTTCAAGACATGACAACAGTCAGTGCCATCCAGCCTGCACTGGATCACAAATTTGTTTCTCCCTATGACACTTAATGGAAGAAGTGGTTTATGATGATGATGATGATGATGATGATGATGGACAGCACTAGATAAGTCTTACTTTCATTCTCTTCCGGGTCACTTTGCCCTTCTTAACTGGGGTTCCTGGCAGAAACTCTGTGGGTAAACTGTTGACTTTTAGTTTCCGTTTCCCAGATGTCACTGAAAGACATAAGTAAACGATCAAAGTTGTGGATATTTATTGATTGCTTGTGTGAGGAGAATAGATCATTCTGAGTGGAGAATAATTTATTCTTGTGTGGTAAATATTTGAATACTTATGTGTCGAGAGCAGTTTATTACTTAGATCTTTGGAAAATATGTGATTACCTGTGTGTGAAGAATATATGGCACTTTAGCATGGAGATTAATTTGTTTGTGTGACATTCCCATTTGCGCTCTGTGCCCATTTACAGCAACCAGAGCAGAGTTTCCACTTTTAGAGCTGGTTCTCGTTGTTAATGGTACAAAGTCTCTTCACCATACTTGTGAAGAGTTGATTGCTGCCATATTCAACTATTTGAAACTGAGACTTTGTGTGAGAAATATAGACTCCGTTTTGAGGGGAAAAAATATAGACTTTTTGTACAGTTCCGTGAAGATGGGGTCACTGCCTCCCACAATCATGTGAGTGTGAAGAACTGATTACATGTGTAAAGGGAACTAAGATATTCACACAAAGCTTGTGCATGGAAATTCAGTAGTAAGCAAGAAGAACTTTTCTGTGTTGTACAGCCGGTAAAGGCTAAGATGAAGAAGAAAAGACTTTTTGTTCCTTAGCAAGAATGTCATTAGAGATAGCTAATTAGAAGACAGTAACAGTTGTGTTAATAATAATGTGTTGAATAGCAAATATAATAATAAATCGGAACTTATTAAACTTATCAACATCATCGACATACTCCAGTTTCTGATGTTTGTGACAAGCTGTCTTCGAGCTTTTGTCTCTTATAGAACATCTGGACCGCTCTTTTTTACTGTATGAGGAATTCTAAATATTCTTCTGTAAAATCACTTCTCCGAGGCTCAAGAAATTATTTATTTCAACAAAAAGACATGATTTGGATAGGCAGTTGTGTTTGATTGTTGTTGACTTTGTACTTCACTTATAAAGGATTCACTTATTTGCTTCATTTATGTAATTGTTACTGAAGTTTGCACCTGATGAGATACAACAAAATATGCCAGGCAACAAATTGTGCAATCTATTGTTTGTGTCTTCTTTGTTCAAACTTGTACATATGTTTGTCTATGTTACTTGAATATTTTTATCTGACTGAGCTGGATTTAGTTGAGTCAGAACCAACAACACAGCACTTGGGAAATTCCTACACATGCTCTGTTGTCATCTTCAGCAGCCAGAACAGAGTTCAAAATCCTATGGCATCAAAAGCAAATTTTATTTGTATGTCTGCCTTGCATTTCCTCTCAGTTCTACAGTGTTGGCCAGATCCCCTGGACACTAGCTGCCATATTTATTAGTGACAGGAAAGCCTGTATGTCTAAACACTACTGATGACCCAGATGCAAAATAACTGCCCGCTGAGAGAGAGAGAGAGAGAGAGAGAGAGAGAGAGAGAGAGAGAGAGACTGTGTGTGTGTATGTGCGTGCGTGTGTGTGTGTGTGTGTGTTTTTTAATGAATAGCACATTTGTGCTTTTGTTTGAATTAAGGTGACAACTACTGTTTACATGTATTTATTAACAAATTACCATATTTGCTTATCACAATGTTCAAATAATCAAGATTTATCATCATATCATTATTTCTCCTGTGATGATAAATTTAAAACCAGAAAAAAGATTCAAGCTAGCAAAACTATTTAACTTTTCTTTTTTTTAATATGCAGTGGGTTAAAAAAAAA